TTGTTTTTGCCACCAAAAGTGATGCTGTTGATCTTTGTTTCTGCACGTGCCACCAGAAGTGATGCTACGCTATTGCTTCTACACTTACCATCAGAAGTGATGCTGCGATATTGGTCGTTACTTTTACGCCTGCCATCAGAAGTGATGTTAAGCCATGCTATTGGTTTTTGCTTTTACACTTGCCCTCAGAAGCCATGCTACCCACTACCCATTGATCTTTGCTTTCCCACTTGCCACCAGAAGTGATGATGCTACGCTATTGATTTTTACTTTAACACTTGCCATCAGAAGTGATGCTACCCCATTGATCTTTGCTTTTCCACTTGCACCAGAAGTGATTCTATGCTATTGATTCTTGCTTCTACTCGGCCAACAGAAGTGATGCTACGCTACTGATCTTTGCTTCTACGCTTGCCACCACAAGTGATGCTACTCTATTGATTTTTTCGGCACTTGCCACCAGAAGTGATTCTACTCCATTGATCTATGCGGGGCGAAATTGCAGAAACTGGTCAAGGGGACTTTCGAAGTGTGCCTGTGTTGTGTTCTGATGTTTCGGAATCCAATTGTTGGTGACAAGCAAAGAATGGCTTCGGCAATCCTGCTGTTTGGCGAAATTGTCTGTAATTTCCCCCTGAGCATTTTCCTCTTAAGATTCCTTTTGAAGCGCTTGGAAAAAGTACGGGCAAACACCTCGATTTGCCCGCGCTTGTCGGCGGCCATCTTCGTATGTGCTGAAAACGTGGTAAAAATGAGATTTTTTTTGCATCATGGCCAACTTCATGTTGTATATCGGCACGCACAGCATAGGGACCTGTGCGAGTGTCTTGCACATCATCATCATCATCATCATCATCATCATCAATCACCCCTTATTGAAGATCTTCAATGAATGTAGAAGTTTAACAGGGGTGGGAGAATTAAACCCTTATTGAAGATCTTCAATGAATGTAGAAGTTTAACGGGGGTGGGAGAATTAAACCCTTATTGAAGATCTTCAATGAATGTAGAAGTTTAACGGGGGTGGGAGAATTAAACCCTTATTGAAGATCTTCAATGAATGCAGAAGCTTAACGGGGGTGGGTGAATTAAACCCTTATTGAAGATCTTCAATGAATGTAGAAGTTTAACAGGGGTGGGAGAATTAAACCCTTATTGAAGATCTTCAATGAATGTAGAAGTTTAACAGGGGTGGGAAATTTATATTCCCTAAATACCCTTGTTGATCTTCCCAATTGAATGTAAAGTCTAATGTTTGATATCCCCAAGTGTACAGCATAGAAGGGGTGTGGGCGAATCGGGGTGTTTGCGCGAAAAAGTACTTGTGCTGCTTAAAGATGGAGGAAATATTACAAAGAGATGCCACCTGAATCAGATTGCAAGAGAACGAGATACCAAGAGCAAGAGATACCACGGAAAAGAGTTGTGACGAGAAAGAGATGGTGAGCGAGAGGGAGAGAGAGAGAGAGAGAAAGAGAAAGAGAAAGAGAAAGAGATGTGAAGAGAAATAGGTGCAAAGGAAAGAGATGCCAAGTGAAAGAGATGTCAAGAGAAAGAGATGCTAACTGAAAGAACCAAGAGGAAGAAATGCCGAGAGAAGGGATGTCATAGAAAGAGAATCCAAGGGAAAGAAAGGTCAAGAGAAAGAGATGCCAAGAGATAGGGATGTCAAGAGATAGCTTCCACCAGCGTCTATAGGTCCTGACCTGAAACTTGCACCTCCGGCTTGCCCGGTACTTCGATAGCCCCCTTTTAGGGTTGATACTCGGGGTTGATTATGGTGATTTTAGGATTGTGCATCCCACAGCACAAGCTCCTTGAAAATTAAGGAGCACGGAAACCAACTTGGCGCATCGAAGGTTGACATCAAGAAACCCTGCTTCTCTAAGTGCTCATAAACCTTCAGCACTCGCAAAGGTTGCTCAGGGTGAGATGCATCCTGGCTCAGGGGTCCGACTTCCATGGAGGATCATGGAGATTTGGATGGATTTAGGCTACTAGATACTGCGAGATATTTCATGAAATGTCAGTTCCATGGCGGGATCGGAAAAATCATTTGGGAAGGACCTCTTTTATGATTCCTAACGCAAGTTGAACTCCTTTGCGCCCATGGATATTCAATTTTTTCTTTCTCAGTTGAATCTCGAATCTCTTCATTCGGCGCTCTTGTGTTTGCGCTCCCTGCACTTGAAGGCTTGGTGAGACCGAACCCCATACCCTTCATCAACTCCGCCTCAAAAAATAAACACCATGCATTAGAAACGCTGATGCTGGGTAGCCTTGGGTATCAGTGGTTTGTGCTGTGTACTGCATCCACACCCAGATGCCCATCCTCCAAGTTTCGATGCTTGGCCATTTTGGAATCGTAGACCAGGCCCACTTTGTTATCAACTTTGGCCTCGCCGCCTCAGCCATCCCATCTCCGCCATCTTTTGGGGCAAACCATAAACCCCGCTTAAGGCATTAACGTATCCCCCGTTCCGTCCCCCGGTTTAAGAAATCCTTCTCCCCATTTCTTAATGGCCATAAAATTGGGTCGCATCCACATCATCCACCATCTTTGACCTAACCCCGAAGATGGCCGTGGGTTTGTTGGAAACTGGGGTGCCTCTACATCCACTGCCTATACCACTAGTACCGCACAAGGCGGTGGCGGATGTTTCAAAGATAGGGCACTATAGGAGAGGTGAGTTGTTGTGACATACGAATGGCGAAGCGAATCCACTGATGGACGGAAAGGTGATTGGAGTTGTGCTTTTTGGAGTGCCTGCAATGGTTGCAGTGGTCACCTCACCCACAACTGCTGGATGTAGTGTGCTGTAGCGCAGCTGTAGTTGTAGTCGTAGCGTATTGTAATTAGTGTAGTGTAGTTGCAGTTGTAGTTGTGGTGTGGTGGAATGAGCGTAGTGAAATCAAATCTAGTGTAGTGTAGTGTGCTGTAGTGTGCTGTAGTGTTCTGCAGTGTTGTGTCCTGTAGTGTAGTCTAGTGTAGTATAATGTAGGGTAGTTGTAGTTGTAGTTGTAACGTAGTTGTAGTTGTAGTTGTAGTTGTAGCTGTAGCTGTAGTCTAGTGTAGTGTAGTGTAATGTAGTGTAGTGTAGCTGTAGTTGTAGTTGTAGTAGTAATAGTAATAGTAATAGTAATAGTAATAGTAATAGCAATAGCAATAGCAATAGTAATAGTAATAGTAATAGTAGTTGTAGTTATAGTTATAGTTCGAATGTAATTGGTGTAGTGTAGTGTAAGTAGCGTAGTGTCGTGTAATTGGTGTAGTGTAGCGTACTGTGCTACTCTACCGCAGCGTAGTTTATTTGTATTTGTATTTGTTCTGTACTGGTAGCGTAGTGTAGTTGCAATTGTAGTTGTAGCTGTCTATCCATCTATCTATCTATCTATCTGTCTGTCTGTCTTTGGCTTTCTGCAAGTTTGAAAACGAAGCTATTCTGCGAGACATCCTCAATTTTTGAACTTGACCACATCAGAAGCGTAGCAATTCTGCGAGACATCCTCAATTTTTGAACTTGACCACATCAGAAGCGTAGCACTTCTGCGAGACATCCTCATTTTTTGAACTTGACAACGTCAAAAACGAGACTATTCTGCGAGACATCCTCAATTTTCGAGCTTGACAACGTCAAAAACGAAGCAACTCTGTGAGACTTCCTTCAAAAACGGACATTTGAGTGCAGAGCTGACGGCCTGGTACCAATGCGTTTTGAAATGTTTCCACTTCATCTGTCTAAAGTACTGCGCCTGCCAGGAAAAAGTGAGGCCAGGCCACACAAAGTGTTGCACCTGTCACGCAAAATCACTTTAGCAAACCTGAAGATCTGATGCTCCAAAATGCAACCCCTCTCAGGAAATCAGCGCCCTGACCTCCTGACATCTCTGAGGAACATGTATCCTGTACTGCGCCTGCCACGCAACATGCGTCTTTCCTTTTCAAATGTCCCAGGCCCGCCAACGCTTTTGAAACTGCTGCAAAACCCTTACGTTTTGCTCGCTTTTGGCAAGGTTCAGAATCCCTTGCGCCTGCCACGCAAAACAACATCTGAACCGTCAAAAGTGGTCCGAGCATTTGGTGCTTTTAACATGTTGACTTGGAAATGTGCTTCGCGCCACAACGGCGTGCACTTTTCCATCATCAAAACTTCCAAAAATGGTCTGAGACCATCAGTTTTTTACACTTTTAGACTTCGAAATGCGCTTCGCGCCACAACGGTGTGCAATTGTTCATCTCTCATCTCCGCACCCGCCGCTTTAGCGAGCCTACTTTTCGGCCCTCCGGAGCCACAAATCATTGGAAAACATAGTGCTTCGCGACTTTTCTACCTTTTCGCGCACCTGCATCTTCTTTCCTCTGACTCTTTCTCTTCTCTGATCTTTCTTCTTCTCTTCTCTTCTCTTCTCTGACTCTTCCCACCTCTGCTTTTCCATCTCTCCATGTTGTCATAAGTTTGACTCCTAAACTTCCTTCGATAATTATATGATAATCATTTCCCCTTAGTTGATTGCGATTTGAAGGTTTTACGGTGTACGGTATACCATGGTATACTTTTTTCAGACAAAAACATATTCCGTCGTATTGCGGGGAAGGCATATCATGATGCATATTTCATTTAAAAAAACTTGAACCTCCCATGAAATCCCCCATATGTCCCATTAAATCCCACTAAATCCGCATGAAAACCCTATGAAATCCCCCATGTCTTGGCTTCACACAAGTCACCACTCACCACATTTGCCACTAAGGTGCCAAAGTTAAAGAATTTCCTCACCAGGCGCCATGGCCGCCGCCAGCGGTGCGATCTGCGCCGCGCCCTGAGAGGCGCCCCGACACTCTGGGCGAGACCAACAGCACCTGGATGGTGAGTCGGGGCGCCAGTAGAAGGATTGCATGGCCCCATTTGTATAATTTGGTTCATGCATAACAACGTATAAGTTCAAAGAACAACATCGAATTCATTCATACCAGTACTTAGTACCACACAAGGCGGTCGCGGAAGTTTCAACGATAGGAAACCTACAGGAGAGGTGGGTTGTTGTGATTCATCGATGGCAGAGCGAACTGATGGATCGAAACGTGGCTGAGGCTCTGAGTCTTGCGTTCTCTCTCTCTCTCTCCCTCTCCCTCCCTCCCTCCCTCGCTCTCTCTCTCTCTCTCTCGCTCTCTCGCTCTCTCTCTGATTCTCTCTCTCACTCTCCAATTCCTTCTGTGCACGTGTGTCCCGAGTGTGTCTGGCCAATGGGCTGCAGCCCGTGTCCTTGCTGGAGGCCTTCGGTGGTAGCCGACCCACCGAGCTATGTTGGGGCCATGTTTGGGTGTACACCGCCAGAATGAAATTCCTTGCCGCCGAAGGGCCCGAAACACCGTAAAAAAAAAACGATGTTTTTGAGCACCGCAAACAAAATACACCGTAAAGGCCCAACATAAGCCCAAGATGGGCCCAAGATGGCTCAACATGGGCCCGACTTGGCCCAACATGAGCCAACCATCGTTGCTTGGCCGGCACCCGGCTGTCAGGCGTAAGCCTTTAGATTGTGGGTCAAAATAGCGGGCCACTAACTTTTGTAGCTCGGGTCCCCCCCAGGTTCTCCCAGATTCTCCCAGGCCCGCCTGAGAAATCCCCGATCCCAGCTGTTTCCACCCAGGTTGCCAGGTTCTCCAAGGAAATTGGTGATTTCCTGTGATTTTGTAGGATTTCCGGGGTATTTTCTACGATTTTATGGGGGGTCCGGGATTTCCTGGGAGAACCTGGATGGTATTTTCTATGATTTTGTGAGATTTCCGGGAAGTGGAAACGATTGGGGATTTCCTCCTGGGCGGGCTTAGGTGACCTGGGCCGACCTGGACGGGGTTTTCCTGAAGAAACCACGCATATGTAAACCAGAGCAGAATTGGATAAAGCACCACTAACGAATAGTGCTGCGCGAACACCGTTTTGATATGTATCCTGCACCATTCAAAATCAATTTTAACACCCAGAAACCCTCAAAAATTAAAACCCAGGCCCCAGAATCTTGACTGATATTATATGCATTAGAAAGGGTTATCTATCTATCTATCTATCTATCTATCTACCTATCTACCTATCTACCTATCTACCTATCTACCTATCTACCTATCTACCTATCTACCTATCTACCTATCTACCTACCTATCTACCTACCTACCTACCTATCTATCTATCTATCTATCTCTCTCTCTCTCTCTATCTATATATCTCTGTCTGTCTGTCTGTCTGTCTGTCTGCCTGGCTGTCTGTCTGTCTGTCTGTCTGTCTGTCTGCAACTTTGAAAACGAAGCTACTCTGCGAGACATCCTCAATTTTGGAACTTGACAACATCAGAAGCCAGCAATTCGGCGAGACATCCTCAATTTTTTGAACTTGACAACATCAAAAACCAAGCTATTCTGCAAGACATCCTCAATTTTTGAACTTGACAACGTCAAAAACGAAGCAACTCTGTGAGACTTCCTTCAAAAATGGGAAGTTGAGTGCAGAGCTGACGGCCTCGTACCAATGCGTTTTGAAATTTGTCGCTTCATCTGTCTAAAGTACTGCGCCTGCCCGGACAAAGTGATGCCAAGTCATACGAAGTGCTGCACCTGTCAGGCAAAATTGTCTTAGCAAACCTGAAGATCTGATGCTCCAAAATGCTACATCTCTGAGGAAATCACCACCCTGGCCTCCTAACCTTTCTGATGGAGATGCCTCTTGTACTGCGTCTGCCACGCGACATGCATCTTCAGGTGCCCATGCCTGCCATCGTTTTTGCAATTACTGCAAAACCCTCACGTTTGTGTCACTTTTGGCAAGGTGCAGAATCCATTGCGCCTGCCACGCAATACCACATCAAAACTTCGAAAGAAAAGTGGTCCGAGACCGTCCATGTTTAACACTTTTGACTTCCAAATGACAAGTGCGTGCACTTTTTGAACATCTCAACTTTTTTGAGCATCTCAACTTCCAAAAGTGCTCCGAGGCTGGGGTGCTTTCTTCGAAACACAGCCGTGTGCATTTTTTGGGCATCTCAACTTCCAGAAGTGCTCCAACCATGAGGTGCTTTGACCGATTAAACCGCCACATATGCTTCACGCCACAATCGCGTGCACTTTGTGCATTTTGACTTCCAAATGCGCTTCGCGCCACAGCCACGTGCAATTTTTGATCGCTCATCTAACCAGATGTCTCCGCACCCGCAGCTTTAGCGAGCCTACTTTTCGAGCCTCCGGAGCCACAAAATATTGGAAAACACCGTGTTTCGCGACTTTTCTGCGCACCTTGATCTTCTTTCTTCTGACGCATTCTTTCTCTGACTGTTCGCACCTCTGCTGCTTCATCCGTCCATGTTGTCGGAAGTTGGAAACATTTGGTCAATATTCAGTCAGTCTCATCAGCTATGATTCAAGAATCCATCCCAGCCATGGATTCTCTGACAGTTGAGGGCGGGACTTGATAACGTATACGGCAATTGGGAGAGGATTGTCTTCCACCCTAGTTGTTGTGTGAGTGTGTGATCATTTTGGTTGATTGGATCAAAAACTCCATGCGAGCTCATGTGGGTGTGGGCTTGTCCAAAAATGGGGATTAATCCCCAAGCTCCATGATTTCAAACATCACTTCCTGTCCCCTTAAAATATCTTGTAATGGCCATTTTGAATTTAAATCAACTCAGAACGAGCCTCCTAAGGCTGCCATGGGAAGCCATCCGCGGTGGTTCATCACACCGCTGCGGGCAAAGGGCACCACATCGGGCATGCAGCGGGCACCTACTCAAAGATTGCGGGTGTTTCTTAAGCTGGGAGACAGACAAATCATTTAAAAGCATCTCCCATCCATTATCATTTTTTATTGGAGCAACGGCTTTCAGGTGCCCTAAAAAATGAGAACCTGGAGAAACAGTTTACCTGATTAGCAATGTTTCTACTCAGGTCTCTGATCTGTGAATTGCTGTTTCGACTTCCGACACAACAAGTGGATGCATCCTTGGGTGATCAAGCTTGGAATGTAAAAAACCGTCTTGGAGATCATTCTCCCTTGAATAGAAAAAGATAGAAAAGACTTTCCAGTACCAGATTTCTTTGCTGATCCATATGAAGCGAACAAGATACTTGATCCTCATAAGACCATAGTAGAACCCCACAAATAACGAACAACCAGCCATCCTGCCTGACAAAGGCAGTGCAGGAAGCGCCGGCGTTGTCGCCAGGGGCGGAGGAAACAGCGCAGCTAGCGCCATGGGGGCCCACCAAAAGAAACCCTGCGTCAATATTGGATCTGATGTGGTGGTGATGTGGTAAACCCTGGCTGCCATACTACCATGACTGGGGATGGTTGAAATTTCACCCATAAAAATGGTGATGACTTGGGGATGGTGCAGGTGGCATTGGGTGAATCCCACGGAGGGACAAAAATTAGAGAATTATGGAATCAGGAAGATGGGATTGAGTGGCGAGCTTGCTGTTCTGCCAACAAGGGTTTGGGTCAGGGTTCAAGAGGACCGCAGATCATCCGTCCTTCAGGCTACCAGCATCCCAAAGTTGACCCATTTCCAAAATATGGCATGTTTTGTAGGCATTTTTTAGGCAATAACTAATAACAAATCTACCGGATTTGGATTTGGAAATTGAAATCCTGGAGTGTTTTGAAGTAATCCTGAACCAGCAATATACAAGAATATACAAAGGCATAGTAAGTATCGACAGTATTTGTTTTCGAGGGCGTTTCGTGTGCTCAGAGCCTGCCGGCTGACAACTTGGCCACTGTGAGATTCTCATGGCTGTTTATCTCCATTGCCTGTCGCACCTCAAAGGAAAAAAGTTCCAACTGGCCCGCGAATCGGCGAATCGTTGATGAATCCCACCTATTCCAGTCGTTTGGACGAATCAAAGCATGCGAAGTGCTTTCAACTCCCACCTTGCAGCAACATGGCACCAAGAAGCTTCCTCAGCCAGGCCGGCTTTCTTCTGCAGCTTCACCATTTTGATGGCCTCGGTGTCAGCGGTTCAGGTACTCCGGCTATGCATTCAATGCCCCTATGAGACATGCCCTTCAGCAGTTTCAATCAAGCCCTCTTCACGTTTGGTTTTGTCTGAAATGTTGGGGCAAACCCTAAACATCCCAAAACGACCACGAGTTGGTCATCGTTATCCGTGGGAAATTACCATAAATTGGGAGTGGGACACCCCACCCAAATAATTTGTGGTTGGTCGTATATCGCATCGCAGCGTATCTGCATTAAACCCCATTCAATGCCCATTGTTCAACCTTCAATTTCAGAGACATCCATTTGGCTTGCGGTCGACTGGTTCGACCTCTGTAACCCAGCTGCATAGGGTTTGTTGGCTTGAAATCTCCGCACCTCAGCAGGGGCAGCAATGGCAACAGCAGCTACCAGTGAGAGTGCAGAAAAAGTAACACTATCAACTATATAACAACATTGGCAGCTCAGGAGCAACAGAAACGCGATAAAACAAGCAGCAACAACATCCTGATGCTCCTCAGTAGTTGCGGCATGGAAGACACATCGGATCGTACCGCGGTGTCAAATTGGTATGTCTGAAAATGGTGTACCTCCAAATTGCAATTTTAATAAACAAACTCAAGTGTTCTCAGGGCAGCTTGGATCCCAAACCGGCCCTCCCTTCTTCACGGATAGTCCCAGCAACCAGCTTGCATCCTTCTGGCGTTGGTTTGGCTTTAAAAACAGTTCCAAAGCCGCCCTCTCCAATCGTGCTGTCGATTCCTTGGGCAACATAAATCTGTCCAACATCACCCAAAATGGCTCCAAATTGGAGGGGCTGTGAGCCCAAGGATTTTGTTTAGAAGCATCAGTCCGCGCATGTTAAAAAATGAAGAAATTGGCCACCAAAGACCCCAGATAGCAAAAGATATTTTTGGGTGGCAACCAAGCGCTCCTCTTTTGCTAAAGCATAAACAGCTTTGAGTAGTAACCGTGCACCGCACCCTTGGAGCGGCAGCCTGCAGCAGCACCAGCAAGCCAGCTCCAAAGCGCACACGCCACTCTAACAGCAGCACCCTGAACAGCACCCTCCACCGGCACCCTGCAGCGGCACCAACATGCCCGCTCCATCCAACTCATCCTTTACTTGAAGTAAGGACATGGGAGGTGACCGAATTAACGGTCACTTTGGATTGCTTTCAACCAAGATTCAGCACAAGTGTATGGCCAGAATACATTGTTCAGCTATGCACATCAAGAAAAACATCGTCGCAATCCGCCAAGAACACGCCGTAAGCAGTAGGCCCTTCAGTAGGCAATTGATTTCTCCGCGAACACATGGACTAAACCAGAAAGCTCGTGCACTAAATCTGCACAATCCACGCGGCAAGGGATGGAAAACTCACTCCTTTCGGTCTGATGTGGGGTTCACCCAATGCCATGATGCCGAAAATCCCTCAAAAATTGCTGGTATAAACTATCCCCACATGGTAGGTTTAGGGCATGCTAACCCAACACAACACAACAGTGCTCTGGGGCCCTGCGACCCTGCGACCAAGCCTCGGAAGAACTCGCTAATGTGCCCTTGGCTGGGGCTATGGTTTGGCTTCCCAACTGACCCAACCGACCAACTGGCTGACATGGTTTACGAATGGAATGGACTAGTACCCCATAGATATGGGGCGATGTTTATCACTAAATGGGATGCATATCCCAGTTCAAGCTGTTTTGGAACCCCCAAGAACATGAAAAGTGTGTGCAACTATTATCGCTAGCCATGATTCTAAACTTTTTTGTACCCATTTCATGCTATCCCTTTCCCCTTTCCAAAACAACAATTTTCTTTCGTTCTTGGCAATACTTGAAGATCAACAAAAGATGTCAGTGCTACCATCACTTGAGAAGCACAATTTGGAGAAGCAAAGAAACAAAAACAGAATTCCAACGCCATCACCCTTGGAAAGCGAAGACCGCTTTTGCCAAGTTGCGTGGAGGGAGTATTAAGAAGAGATGGTCCGGCGAGATCTGACGATGTTCACAGTTGGGCGTCGGCCAGTGACCCACTAAAATGATCAAACATGGGGTATCAAATCTTGTTTTAAACCACCACCACCAACCGGTAGATTTTGCTGACATCCAATCCCAAAGTAGTGGTATGTCTATAACCTTTATTGCATCTTTTTGGGGGTAATAATCGGGGGCGGGGTGCCGAGGCGTGGTATTTAGCAGCGGACGCTGCGAACAAATCTGTTCAACTGGAGCAAGCTTCAGCTGGGGGAGGCACCCGTACGAGCTGCCAAAAAGTGCACTGGACTGTTGGTAGTTTGCACATGTTGCATATCGGCGCAACATCATCCAAATTCTCCATTTCGATCCAACATGGCCGCAACTTGGGGCCCCAACTTCGGCCCAACTTGGACCCACTTGGCTCCAACTTCGGCCCAACTTGGCTCCAACATTGGGCGCATTTAGGAGGAATTTCGGCCCAAGTTGAGCTCCACCTGGGCTCAACACAGGGGACATTGCCGGCCCGATACGAAATCTTCAAAACACACGTTTTCACTAGTATTTTCCACGTTTTTTTGGGTATCGATGATGCTTCAAATGAGTAATGTTCCCCATTTTATGTCTCCGTTAGGCCCAACTTGGTGCAAAGCTGCCGCCAAAACAGCTCCAAGCTGCGCCATGTTGGACCTGACTTGGGCCTACATGTGCATAGCATGGCTTCAACTTGGGGTTCCGGGGCCGCGGGCCCAACTTCAGCTCGACCAATTGGCTCCAACTTGGGCGGTGCACGTTGGAGCCAACTGATCCGAGCTCGGCGCAATTTCCGATTCATTGGGTGCGGGCGGTACTCGTCGCGAAGCGACTCGAATATTTGGGTTACAATATTTTTTTGGGTCCAGAATTGTTTTGGGATTATTTGTTTTTCCGTTTTTGATGTTTTTTGGATCTGTTTTTCTGCCCATTTTGCTTGCTGTTTGCAGCATTTTGGAGCTGGAAGCTGCCGTTTCAGCGGTATTTGCTGCATTTTTGAATTCGAACCTTTGATTTTCGATGGAATTTGCAACATTTTGTTGCTCGAACTGTTCATGTAACATGATAGTTTGCAACTATAGGGTTCATGTCGGTTTGGTTTTAGGGTTAGTTTAGGTGTTTTGTTTGGTTTTAAGTTTTTTGAGGGTTGGTTTCAGAGATAGGGTTTATTTAGGTTTCTTAAAGGGTTAGTTTAGCTCTTTTTTTTAGGGTGTGTGTTTTGGTTTTATTTAGGCTCGGTTTAAGATATATTTATGGTTGGTTTAGGACCTATTTAGGCTTGGTTTATGTTGGTTTGAAGTTTGTTGAGGGTTGGTTTAGGATCTATTTAGGCCTGGTTTAAAATCTATTTAGGGCTGGTTTATGGTTTATTTAGGCTTGGGTGAGCATCTATTTGGGGTTGGTGCAGGGTGTGTTTAGGGTTTATCCAGGTTTGGTTCAGGATCTATCTAGAATTGATGTAGGACCTATTTCGGATTGGTTGAAGGTGTGTATAGCGTTGGTTTAAGATTTATTTAGGTCTGGTTTAAGATCTATTTAGGGCTGGTGTAAGGTTTACTTAGGATTAATTTCAAATTTACTTAGGGAGTGTTTAGGGTTTACTTAGCGTTGTTTTAGTGGTTCTTTGGTTGGTTTAGGGTTTATTTATGGTTGATTTAGGGCTAAATTATATGATGTTTCTCAAGGATTATCTGCAGTATGAGAAATACAAAAAGACGGAAAAGCAGGGAAGCAGAAAAGCAGAGAAGCAGAAAAACAGGTAAGCAAAGAAGCAGGAAAAAGCAGAAAAGCAAAAAGAAGAGAAGCAGAAATGCAAAGAAGCAGGGAAACAGAAATCAAACAAAAAACAAAATGGTGGGGAAAAAAAATAGGCCTCCACAATATAATACGGCATATGGATATCTCCATTGGGAGTTCAACCAACAATAATGGCTATATGTATAGCATGTATACATATACGTGTGTATGATGAACTGAGGACACAAAAATGGAGATGGAAATATTACTCTAACTCTTCTCACAGGCCCGCTTCGCCTACCATATTCCTTGCTAAAGCAAGAGTAACTTTAGCTAGCTGATGCTAGCTTTCATCCACTTACAAATCCACTTACGTAGCCCAGCCGGCCTCTCTTTCACACATCCACTTACACTGACCAAACCACCACCAAAAATAACACGCGCTTCTCACGTTATTTTAAAAAAATCCTGATCACAAGGGCTCAATAGTTAGCAGGACTGGTAGTCACAAGATTAGCCAAACTCAATCTAATCTGGGTTTGTCCATTCTAAGATTATCTAAGATAGGGAAAATGATTTTCTCAAGAGATGGAATGGACTGATCTATTTTCAAACCTACTCTATTTTCTAACAAACTCTCAGATGGATGTGGGTCAAAAGTGGGGTACCAATGGGGTAATATTTTCGAACACTTGAGCTATCCATTTTCGGTGTCGACCCATATCCAAGCCATGAACAAATCTTGCACGTCACGAAGCATCCGCCACTTATAGTGCATCTAATTTCATTAAACCCAAGCAGAGAGTAGATATGTTCCTCAATCCACGTAATCCGCTTTGGCCGGTGGATCTGGGGTGTTGACCCGTTGCGGGCAATCTCCAAATCTTGTCCGGCGAGTCCCTGTGTGCAAAAGATATCCGATCCTACTCTTTAGCAAACTGTCAACAACGTCCTGTAAATCACAAATGTTCAAGGGTTCCACTACCAGCGACACTCACTAGCAGCACTAGCAGTCGACTAGCATTTGTTGCACAACTCAACACGTTTCCGGCCAACCAATTGGCTTCCTGTGGAGAAAAACAGCCACTTCCACTTCCTGCCTCCTCAATGCGCGAGCGCAGTCGAATCACCACTTCGTCGTCCCCATTTTGATCAATGCGAAACTTCAACAGCCTCTCCGGTGACCAACATCTCCCAATGGCGACCAATTTCAACCCAAACTGAAATCTTGGGAAATTCGGTACCACCAGGCAAGAATGTCATCAAATATCATCAGAAAGGTGCGAAGCAAAATCAATGTTTCGTTGTATCCTAAGAAAGGTAGGAGTTGATGCGCAAAATTGGTAAGGTTCTCAACCTGGGGCTGCACCAAGCCAAACATAATCCAAATCGGCAATATATTTGAAACATCCTTGAGGCCCAAGACGGAAATAAAAAATACATGTCAGATGCTGTGAATGTTTAAAAAAAACCTCAATTGGCCAAAGATGTCAATACAAATTCAACACATGTGTGGTTTTTTCTTTCATCCCCAGGATGATGCTTCAGGTCATCTAAAAAACGACGGGTACCTGAGTTTCTTGCAGCACCATGAACATGGCCCACGGCTACGCGCTTGCAGCACGGTCACAGGCATGGCGCGCAAGCGCGGCGCGCGGAGCGCTTAAGAAAATACTGAGTAGGGTGACTGGGCCCGAAATTCACTGGCCAGGAAATTGCAATTTCAACTTGAACACTAAAGCAATATACCAAAGTTGAATCGTTTGGCTGTGGACCCATTGTGAATAGATTGCCCCAGAGCTAAGTGGAGTTGAGGTCCTGCGGTTCTTTACTTGAGGTCCTTCTGAAATTGAAGCCATGTTGTCAGCCCGTCATATATATGCAATATATATATATATATATGCTTAGAAACACCTGAAATTTAGCATTGGGGCTGTGATAGTCCTGCATGAAATCAGTCAGCCCCAGACCGTGGGTCATGTGGACAATTTCCGCCTGATCCGCTTTTGGAACTGCTGCAGAAAGACTTGTAAAGGTTTGCGCACAGCTGGCACGACTATCAGGGCAATCCCAGGAGATGCCCCAGTTGGATTTCATTGCCGACTGAACTGCCGTAACTGCGACTGAAGCAAGGAACAAAGGTTAAGAGAACCACCAAGGCTAGAGTTTTTTCTGCAAAAAACGCGGGCCGTTCCTGGACGGAAAACCAAAGCACCCAGCAACCGTTTGAAACGGTGTTTATCCACAGTCTGAGCGCCTATGAAATTCCAACGTGGTATATATGGTGTATGTATGTGTATATATATATATAATAAGGTGTGTATATATATAAGGTGTATATATATATATACATATATAAGGTGTATATATATGTGTGTGTGTGGTGTGTATATATATATATATATGGTGTATGTATATATATATAAGGTGTATACATATATATATATATTCACAACTCCGTAGCAAGGAGCCTGGTAATCCCAGGATCTAAGCCATGCGCTTTTCACCGTTGCGCAGCTCAAGTACGTGTACACAGCCCTCCCACTTTGGACCAATAAGGTCAGTGGAAAATCAAATGCAAATGTGAAATGTTTGAAATGCCTGAGAGTGAACATGTCAAGGCTGGACAACGCTGGAAAATGTCACAGCCAAACTTTTCTTTTGACTGTTCAGTCTCCAGGCTTCATTAGGCCTCTCAGAAGCATCATCATCAGCGCATCGTGAATCCACCAAGGTGATGATTGGAGACATCATCCAGCGCCTAAAGCTATCTCTGAGCTTTGGACACATCTTGGTCATTGCATCAGACATCTGTTTCTCTGTTGGCACCCATCGCAGGTTGCGGCACGTCTCTCTCAAACCTGCAATGTCAATTTCGACTCTCTTTTCAGCAAAACTGGTAGACAATCTATGAATGGAGTCCCAGAGGCTTCTAGCATCTGTGATGGGGATGACTTCGAAGTTGGGTCGTGCTTGAGTTGCACGATAGCTCGCATCCGTCATTTCGCTGAAAACGCATGCCAAAAAGTTGCCCATGTCTTGCGCTCTATCTAGTGCGGCCGCCTCAGCTGCAAGAGTTGATCGTAATGCTCGTTGATGCCTGTAGCTTTTCCATTCCAGCAAAGAAGCACGTTCTTCTTGTTGAAGCGCTCGCTTGCTGGCCATAGAGATCACATATCCGCCTTGACTCTTGTTGCCTGGTGCATTGGCAAACCCAGAGTCTCCGTACGCATAGAAGGCCACATCTTGGAGATCGAGAGGAACGATCTTTACGTAGGCATTCGCAGTCGCTTTGACATACTTTAGAACCTTGTTGACGGCGACAAGGTCTGCGACGGTCAACTCGGAGTGCGCTTTCTGCAGCATAGAGACATAGGGAGCCAAATCGCCCCTTGTAGTGCCCGAGAGCCATTGTAAGGAACCAATGCCTGAACGAAATTCAGTGACAAGCTCCGGGTGGTTCATGAGCTTTTCACTTGGGTCCTTTGTGATTTTTGTCTTGACTATGTCGGCGACGTAGTGGGTCTGGTCTAAGGCTACGCCGCCATCTTCAGTCCTCGAGATGCGTCGACCAATAAAGACAAAATCGTCTTTCTCCCACTCACTGCCCCAGGTAAACGCTGCTTTGACCTCTTCAAGAAGAGACTCATGCTCAGGCAAACATGCAATGATAATATCATCCACATGAAGTCCAAGAACTGCTACCACTTTGTCGCCAGACCGCTGTAGAAACAAACATGGGTCTAGGCTATGTTGGTGCCAGTTCAAGCCTTGAAGAACTTGTACCACATATAGGAACCAACGGCGTGGCGCATTTGCCTGGCCGTACACTGGAGCGCTGAGCTGGTAAACCAGCTTCTTGTTTCGCCATTGTGGATTGACCTCCAAACTGAGGTCGTCCTGTGGTGGTCTCATGTAGATGGCTGTTGGACGTTCAGTATCTGGAAGTCCTTGCAGGAAAGCACTTTTACAATCACCATTGAAAAGGCTAACGTTGTGACATGCCGCCCATTGCAGAATCAACATGAAACTCGTTCTTGCCAGAACCGGTGCGTCCCGTGTCAAAAGAGGAAGGTGAGGATCTCGATATCCTTGGATCACGATCCTTGCTTTTGCTTTAAACCACTTGCCACCATCTTTCGGCTTCCAGCGAAAACACACACGACTCTTCATGATGAGCTGTGGGTTGATGTCCTCTCGTAAAAGCACTGGCTTGCAGCTTGACCAAAGTTCCCATTCGCGCCACTCCTCTTTCAGCGCCTCGATGAAACTTGGCCAATCCTGTTTCGGGATTGTCTTCCAGGGAATCTCTCTCTTGAGAGCTTGTTTGGCGGCTCTCCCTGAAGTCTGGCTGCTTTCATCATCGCTTGAATCTGCATTGAAAAGAACCTCATCTGTGCTTGTAGTGAACACCTGGGCATTCTCAACGGGATAGTTATGCTTGATCTCATCCAAGGAGATCAGCTTGTCATACTCAAGATCATTCATCATGTCCCGCTTCACCTCATCGTCAACCTCCAACCTACCGTGTGCAACTTCATGACATGCCGCATGATATGCTGTGGCAAACGCAGAATGTTGAAAAGCAGGTTGGAGTTCTGGTGGGCTACCATCCCAGCCAGTGATGTGAGAGCAATGCCTGGCGTGTCTCTTGTGATGTCGCTCGTCAGGCTGTCCAGCACGCACCTGATGATCGTGATGCTGGCCATGTCGCAAAAAGATCTTTTTGTGGGCAGTGTCGAGGAAATTGCCCAGCACACTGTCAGGATGAACGGCAATGTTCTCAAAGACGTGCCACCATTGCCAATCGTTCTTCTCTTCCTTATCCTTGACAGCCACACTCCAGATCTCTGCGCTGGAGTTGTCGGTCTTTTCCGGCATGGCATTGAACATCTGGCCCACGCCAGTAATGTAAGTTTCTGCTTCAAGGTGGTCATCGATTTCATGCTCCTTCGGCAGATCAGGCCTGCCAACATGAGCTGGGTCATAGTCTATCCACCTCTTGTAGTACTTGTCATAATGGAAACGACCCTGTTGAGACATTGCATCACGCTCCTCAACCTCGTCGAACCAATTGGACACCAAAATGGGGTCGTTCACAAATTCATGGTGAAAGCATCGTGCACATTGAACTGCGTCTGGTGAAGAAATATCTGGCTTTGTTCCGCATTCTTTGCAGTACAAAGGAAACACTGAAAAACGTGAAACATGCTGGGCTGATGCGGATGCTGGTTCTTGCATGCGTGTCTGTCTATCTTGTCTGGCTAGCGCTTCTACTGGCTCTTCTGCAATCCTCTTGGTGCCCTGCTCAGCTGGCAACTTGGCTTGTCGAACTGGTGGTAGTTCGCTTTCAGTGCTAGTGGTCTCCCTCTTCAGGCTGGGACCACGTGGTGAACTAGCTGCTCGTGCTGAGGAAGCCGACTGACGTCGGTCATCAAGGGCCAAGGGACCATCAGCAAGTTTCAAGAGGCTAGTGTCACCCTCCGTCGTGATCTTGCTGCCGCTTCTTGTAGGATTGGGCTCATCTTCTTCTTGTATGGCTGGCAAAGCCGGAGTAGGCGGCAAGTAGATCACTGGAGTTTGGGGTACAGCCGCTGACGGAGCAGTTGGCGCAGTGGTTGAAGATCTCCTGGAGACATCTGGAGATGGTTCTGTCGTGGCTTCGGTGCTCGGTGCAAACACTGGTACTGGAACAACTGAAGGACCGGCTTGGTCTGCCAAAGCTAGTGGTTGACCTTGTGCATCCAGAGCTTCCGTCGCATGCCTATCATCGGCACTTGTTGGTCCAGGAGCTCGATGATCAAAGGCCAATGCATGTTTCCGAGATAAGTCCAACTCAGAGTCACGCAGTGCCTTGATATCGTCAGTGTCAGGTGACCATAGCTCTTCTCCCACAACGGCTCTGATTTGTTCTCTTGAAGCTTGCACCACTCTGCCGCGATTGTTGCGAAGCCAGACACTTCCAGAAGGGCCGGGATCTAGGCCGATCACGAGGCCCTGGCGATAGCCCTCCACGGTGCCTTCACCATCCGCCTGGTTTCGATGGCGGTAGTATGCCACCTGTTGGCCAACTTCAATGGGTCCACGCCACGGTCGCCCCTTTCGGAGCATGGCCTTTCTGGGAGCATCGCTGAACTCGAAGTCAAGGAAGGACTTCATGGCTTCGTGTCGCACAGCTTCAATTTGTCGCAGAGCGTCACTGGAATCAAGCATCTGTTTGGCCTCAACTGCTTCTGGTTCTGAAAGAAGTGCTGCAGGGATGCGTGGCTGTCTGCCAAATACCCACTGACAAGGTGATGCACCTGACCGTCTGGTCAGTGTATTCTTGGCAAACGTGGTCATGTTGGCCAAGATTTCCATCTCCTCAGCGTCATGCGCAGCAAATTGGCTCACAAGCCGCTGCATCATCCATTTGGCAGTTTGCCCATGTCGCTCGCATTTGCCCAGCTGGTAGTGCGCATCTGGCGGCACATAGCGGATCTGGATATTGCACTGGGACATCAGAGTCTCAAACGACATGCCACGAAAAGAACCCTCAGCATCCAAAACCAAAAAATCAGGATGTCCGAAAAACTTGAACCATCCCTTCACCAAAACCCTGATCACAGTCTCTTCAGATCGATCAGGTAGAAGATCAAGAACTTGGTAGGTGCTAGCGTCGTCAAGCATGTTCAAAAATGGGAAAGTGGTGCCAGCAACGTTCTTAATGTAGACTATGTCCATGAAAAGACGGTCATTGAAACGACGTGCAAAAACCAACTTGCTGGGTCTCGGCTGTCTTGGAGGCCGAGTCCTTTCACAAACTGAACACTTCAAGTGCTTGGCTCCCAAAAGCGCCTGTCCCGCTGCTCCACTCTGAGCAAGGAGACGGGTGAGAGCCTCGTTGGAAGGATGACCTAAGTTGGTGTGCATTCGCCTCAAAACTGCTTTGCACCATTTGGGAACTTGCTCGTCAGACACGCTGAAGGTGATGTCATAATAGCCAGGTTGCCAGGCATACATGGTCTCTTCTGGGGCAACCTCCGGCTGAACATCACGACTTGGTTTCGATGGTTGTTGCTTGGGAACATCCCCAAGAGCTGGAGTCAATGGTTTGGAATTCTCAGGTTTGTTGTTCTCTTCTGGATCCAAACTTGTGGCAGGAGCCTCGCCGTAGACCAAGATGCCAAAGCTCACAGGATTGGAAAACTTGGCTGCAGCACCGGTGGCAAAGCTCTGGACCTCCTCTGTCTCGAAGGTCATTCTCCCATCTGTGTGCTGCAGAATGGCTGCTCGATGAGTGATGGGAAGCTGATTGATGATTTGAGGTAATCTGCGCACTTTTGGAGACTTGACGATCTGAGCTTGATGGATCGTCCAGGGCACTAATGCTTGGATCTGCTCAAAAAACGCCGTCCCCTTTTTGACAATGGCAGAGTTGGAGACCTTACCTTCCAGTCGCAGTCGGACTTCTTGTAGGATTGGTCGCCAGACTTCCTCATTCCTTATGATGTCCACATAGTAGACCTCAAAACCCATCGCACTGCTCATAGTTGGATCCCACATGGTTGCCCAAACTCGATGATCATGAAATGGTTGAGAAACATCCAAACCGCAAGTCCAGGTTGAAGGATGATCTTCTGCAAAATGATGCATCCACCTTTCATCACCGCATTGCTTCAAAGACTGCATCAGGCCCTGAATCAACGCCTTGGCTAACTGGCGTGTATAGACCTGAGCCCTCTTAGAGTTGCCGCCCAAACATGGTTCGTGCATGGCACTGTTGTTGTGGTTGCAGGTCAAGCAGATTTCATCAAGCACGAGGGGTAGATCAGAACACCAGCCGGTGTTCTTCTGCAAAAGCTTGCCTTGACGTCCCCTCAAACCAAACCTGCACATAGACCCTTTTCGGAGCTCCGCACCTGGAAGCTGCTGGATCTTCATAATGTCAGGTTGTTGCCAAAATGGTGTTCCCCATGGATTCTCAAGCAAAAAGTGACCATCAAATTCAGCCTTCATTTCCTCGATGGTGATCCGCATCTCCTCCAGGGACAACCGTTGTTCGTCACGAATGACTTGGAGTTGTGCCTGGTCATAGTTCAAGTGGTTGATGTTGCTCCAAGGATCACATCGAATTTCCCAAACCGTAAGAAAAGGTCGCCGCTGCTTGAGAAAACACCGAAGTTGTTGAAAATCTGCTCTGCTCTCTAAGCTAATGCCATGGACTGCGTCTATTGGTTGGACAGCCCTCAAACCCTGTTCCAAAGCCTCTGCAGTGATGTTGCCCATGCCAGCGTAAATCTCAATGATGTCAGCACCGTAGCGTCGAAGAGAGCGAGCTCGCAGAGTGCGAGCTTCATAGATCTTGTTCTCGACGCTAAACATCTGCCTGAGCTGTTTCACATTGCCGCTCAGTCGTTTTCTGGTGCCGGACTTCAGGAGATAGGATCCCTCATCTTCAGCCAGCATAGGCAAATCGGCGGAGTAGGAATCGCCTACCCAGCCATGCCCTGCTCCCACGCTTCTTGGACTTCTTGGGCTTCTTGGCCCCAAGCTTCCGTGGCGTCCGGCATATCCTCCTCCGGGCCCATCGCGTCCTGCCAGTTGGCCTCCCCGTTCTCCCAATCGTACTGCCGGGACATCCAATCTCTCTCCTGAATGTCCTCCCAGCGTCGATGAAGAATGCCGATCTCCGCATCCATCAGTTCCGAAGCGGACTTCTGGTAGATATAGGAGAGATCCACTGGTTCCCGCACTTGACGGGCTGGCGCCGCTTTGGAGGCAGCTTTGGACATGGCCGCTCGAGTCAATCCCGAGGGCGGACGCAAGGAGGGCCGATATGGCAGTTGTGAGCCAGCCGAACTTGCCGAAGAGCTTGCGGCTTTTGACTTCGCTTTCGGAAACAAAGGAGTCTTTGCCGTCGGAGATGCCTTGGGAACTGCTTGCACGGTTGTCGTGGGGTCCTTTGGATTGACCACCCATCTCGACCCGCACAGGTCGCAGATTCTGACCTTCTGTCCTCCGGCCCCGTAAGACCTCAGGCCTGAAGGATGTGGGCAGCTTTCCGGCTGATTCACATACTTTGCCTCTTGGCTGTGAGTCTGGACCAACATCGCAGTTGCCGTTGAAAGCATTGTGGTGCTGGTCTGAGGTGGAAAGAACAGCCGAAGAGCTCTGTCCTTGATCGCCGGCTTCATGGACACTGCCGCATAGTGGAGGACCGCTTGTCCCACGGAGTAGAGGTACTCCATCAGGTGGGTCAGCAGCTGACGCCAACGCAGCAGCCATGTTGGAATCTGGTCCCTTCGCATGAGGCGGTGGCTCAGAAGGGGCAGTTGATCTCACTAAGGTCGCTGACTTGAACTCGGCTGCAGATGGACACCATGCATCTGGAATAGTTCTTGGCAAACATGCTGGTGGCCACGAAAAACAATCTTCAGGCCATTCATCAATTCGGATTGCTAAATGACCACATGGTGACAGCCACAGCCGTGCATCACAACCCAATGCCGTGTAGTGCATGACACCGGCAACAATGTCTGGAATGGCACCCAAACTTGCAAATGCTGGACGTGAAAACAAAGCTGGTGCCTTCGATTCAACCACGCTGATGCCAAACACTGCAAAAACTCCACCTACACCAACAGGATATGCAAATCGAGTTGTACTTGGTTCTCCTTGATTAGGTCCAAACGAAAAATGACATGCTTCTGAAGTTTGTTGTGGTTGAAGTGGAAGAATATCATTCTGTCTCTTCAGATGCCATGCTCGACCTGCTACCTGCCTCTGACAACCTGTATCTGCAATCATCAAGGCCGTGTCATGATCCGCATACTGAAGAAGCACTCTAGGGTTTGGAGGAATTGCAAAACAAGATTCTGATGTTTGTTCCCAAGCTTCATGGAAAACATCTGGTAGATGATAAACTTCAGGAGTCTCACCATGCTCACTCAGTTCCTCCGAACCCTCACACAAAGGTGGCAGCTGAAAGCTCGGCACGTTTTCCATCTGGTGGCTGGTCATCCAAGAGCTAGAGACAATAGAGCCCTGGCCGTCCAAAACGCATCCAGCTGTGGTCAGCTGGGCGTTGTGGCGACTGACACTTGGGCAGTCGCGAAGCCAGTGTTTGTTGCTACCACATCCAAGGCATGTAGAGCTGGCAAGTCGTTGTTGTTGCAGATCGAGATTCTGTCTCGAAGGCGTCGGACTTGGCTTGCCTTTGCCCTTGCCGTTGGACTTGCTGGACGACTTGCCGCCCGACTTGCTGGATGACTTGCCGCGGCCTTTGCTCTTCCCGCGGTCATCCGACTTGTACTTGCCTTTGGATTTGCCGTCTTGTTTGGGGTCTGCACTGAAGAAACCCCTGCCTTTGGTGATCTCTGCCAATCTCTTGCTCGTCACTGTCAGAGCGTTCACCGCATTGATGACATCCTCATAGGTTGCACTAGACGGTGAAGCCTCCAAAGCCTCGTCATGTGCCGCGGCTGCGGCAGGACCATCATCTTCATCGTACTCGTACTCCACATCATCAGGGGCTGCAGCCTCTTCATCGCCATAGGTCTCGGCAGCCTGGTCCCCTTGGTCATACTCAGGAACGTCGTTCTCATCAGGGTCGTAGTCATCCCAGTCAGCATGCCATGCACTCCAACGGGACTTGCCCTTGACGGGACGTCGAAAGCCCTGCTGAGCAGATTTGTTGGGAATGCCTGTCACTGACATACCTGCTGGATATTGAATCTTGATTGCATCTTGAATCAACTTCATGTTGTACTTGTTTCCTGCAGCTAAAAGAAGAGAAGAAGTGGATTTCTCATCAAGACGCAACCCATCCAAAAGCTTGATGACCCTGGCTTCTTCCGGATAGGGTGGCACTTTGTTATCAGCTAACTTGCGCTCCAAGAGTCTGAAGCGACGAACAAATGCAGTAACGCTCTCGCCCTGCAAACGACCAACGCCCTCAAACTCGCGAATGATGCCGCCCTGACGAAACAACTCACGTTCTCCAAATGAAGGTTCAAGGTCATCGAGAAGTGACTGAATGCCGTCAGGGTGATCGTAACGATCATCACTCAACTCGTCGAGTTCGAGCTCAGCCTCGCCCTTCAACATCTCTCTGGCACGCAAAGCTTGCTCATTTGGGGGTAAGAATTCTTTGGTTATCCTCACCCAACGCCACAACCTACGTTTGTAGTGACGTAAGCAGTATGGATCTGATTCCAGGTCCCCCTCAAACACAGGGGGTGGTGGCACCTGCCCAGAGCGCCAACGTTTGAAGTCGTCGGCCCGATTCACACTAGTCTGAAACTGAGAGTGATTGGACCTACCACCTCGAGAACCTCGCCTTCGGCGACTAGAATTCTGAGATGAGGGTGCTGGTTCAACGTTGACAACCCCAGGAACATATGGTCCATCAAGGTTGATGTCATCATTTTCACCTAGATTCACACTGCTATCATGAGTTGGGGTCTCTTCTTCAGCTGCATTCACACCTTCCTCGTGGTCAGCGCCAAGGTTCTGAGGATCCAAGTCGGCCGGACCAAATGCGGCGCGCATACCAGCGAACAGCTCATCCTCAAAGTTGAAGTTCATGCTGGATGCAGCGCGCAACGGCAGCGCAAGCTCAACTGAGCTCGCTACCAATCACAACTCCGTAGCAAGGAGCCTGGTAATCCCAGGATCTAAGCCATGCGCTTTTCACCGTTGCGCAGCTCAAGTACGTGTACACAGCCCTCCCACTTTGGACCAATAAGGTCAGTGGAAAATCAAATGCAAATGTGAAATGTTTGAAATGCCTGAGAGTGAACATGTCAAGGCTGGACAACGCTGGAAAATGTCATATATATATTAGGATTACATAAAGTATATAATATATTAGAATATAAGGTGTATAATTGAATATAATATATATGTATATATGGTGTATATATATATGTAAGGTATATTATATTTATATATATATGTAAGGTATATTATTTATATATATATGTGTAAGGTATATTATAATTATATATATGTAAGGTATATATATATGCAAGGTATATATAAGGTTTTTAAAATTGAATTTGCAGGAAATTCTGCCTTTAGACTACAGCAGCATGCCAGTCTATCCACACATGTTCGGCAGGATCCCTTGCCGCTGGCACCGCAGCTGCGGCCTGACATGGCGATTCATCCAAGATTCGGAGGTGTGCTAGGTCCTAAGTGGGGGTATCCCCAAATCCAAGTCATTGGACCATGACTCGACGTATTGAAACCCATGGTTTACTTGGGAACCCCCAAATTTTGAGAAACCCTATATAATTTGTACATCAAAAGTTTTCATGGTTGTGGCAGGTCAATGCGGTCAATCATTTGCCCCCGAAATATCCCACAATCACGTTAGCAACATCGAATCAAATCACGCGGTCTTTTCCGAGCTGCACAATGACAGCCAACCACGTTTCCCGGCACCAGCATTGCTTGGCAATCATGGCCAGTTCATGAATGAGGATTCGCAAAACAAGGAAAAAGTGGCAGCGACACATCCAAGATCAAGACTCATTGGATGCGTCCTAAAACAGATAGGTTATGCCCCTCATGCTAGGCTAACGAAGCCAACGAAACCTAGCGGCTAGCTAGTTCCAACAACATCAAACTGCGTCAATCCGAAGGGGCATTAATCGAATTCAAATACGAGTACATCTTAGACACGAGGACTGACCATGTGTCTCTGCTGTGGTCTGTCAAGCCACAACGTTTGTAAACAATTGTGTCTCTTCATTCACCAAGGCCAGGTCACTGCTCTCGTTGTTTCCCTTTGAAAACTGTGCTTTTTCATCATTCCCAGCGTTGACATCCGCGGCACCCTCAGACAATGCCATTGTACAGCAAGCTGCCGCTAGGCAAAAGCTGGCAAAGAGCGGACAGGATACCTGAATGGTTGCAAACCAACGCGAGGACCATAAACAACCGACAAAAAGCACCAAAAAGCAAGATCGCTCAAATGTCTATAGACTATAGACATTATTCTAGATTCACATTTACATTTTGTGAGCCATTCTGTATTTGATCAGGCGCAACATATTGGCGGCAACACGGGGAAATGTGTATGAGTTTATACAGGTTTAAGGACAGAAAAAAAAGAACTGCCCGCTGTGTCAGACGTGGCACCGATGCGGGCCATGTTCCACTTAAGGGAGCAATGATTCCACCCAACCGTGCTGTAGTCTCACATGTGGTGAAGGCAACCTTCGAAGCGCGACCAGCAAAGATCTGGGCCAAAGCCACATAGATAGTCGTGAAGCACACGTCCAAACACAAGCGCCCGACCACCGCAAATGATAGCACGAAGGGAGTTCCGGGCTCCCCTGTGCTGCAAAGCATTAAGCATATGCAAGCTGCGAAGAAGCAAAACGCCTGGCACTGTGTGGGTCCCGGATCTTTGGATTTTCCATGAACATTCAAGGCTGATCCGTGTCCCTTTGTACATGCTGACATGTGTGTGTGTGTGGCTTGAAAACTTAGCTAAAGGTTCCTGGGCCACCCTGCGCCCCTCTAGACAGCCGCCTGGACCTTGTTCCTTCCGTATTTGTCTGCTGTGAGAGCCAGCAAGTAGCCAAGAATGTCACCACCATGCAAAAGCATACCTCAATTGTTCTCAAAGGCTTACCAAAGTAAACCAAAAAAACAAGCAAAGATGCGCAGAGATCATGGCACAAATATGTTAATCTCAAATCCGAGCAGCAGCTCATGTAAATGTCAGGAGAGAGTTGTCCAGCTGAGTAGGTTAGACCGTAGAAGCCGCAGCCACAAGCGAGAAATGCAACAGCCAACGCTGCCTCAGATGGCTTCAAGGTGGGCTACAATCTTCCTGCTACTGGCTTTGAAGCATGGAACGTATTGTTCGGACTGAACACCAAGTTGACAAAAATTGCATATGTTGTGAGAAGCACGTTCGCAATCTTTCCCGACATTTTCACTAGTCATAAACACGCTGCTACAGCAGTCCCCTGCAGCATGCTCCTCCACCACTCTCACTGTCACATCTCATGATGGCTCTTGTGGAACACTCTTTGTACAAAACCTATTGATTTAAAAAACAAAATCGCAAAATGTTTAGATTTACATCAGCATCTTCTACGATTTCATCAATCACCATGAGTGATCTTCAACTTTGGCTTCGCCAGCCATGACTACAGTGACTACAGTGACTACAGTGTCGCTATAGGAAATCATGAGGTCGTTGGTGACGCAACGGTAGGCTATGACTGCGACTCACGCGACTCACGTGTTTCAAGGCCATCTACGCTTCCTCCATTCAGTGAAGTTTGACAAATCGCTTGCCGGAGCAAGTCGTACGTTGCGAAGTTGTAGACTAAGCTTCTCGGCTTGCCTGGTGGCTTCTCGGCTTCTCGGCTTCTCGGCTTCTCGGCTTGTTTCGTACTTCTCGGCTTCTCGGCTTCTCGGCTTCTCGGCTTGTTTCGTACTTCTCGGCTTCTCGGCTTCTGGTCGCATTTCTGGGCCCCTTTACCCGTGCATTGAAAAATTACGTCTTACCAACAAAGCCAGAACACCATGTTTCTGTTCTCTGCAAAGGTCAGGTTTTTACGTTCGCCGCTTTCAACTTCTGCCACTGAAGGTTTCTGAATGTTGCGGAGCTTTTTGCGGACGGCCACCGGGAGCGACTGCACAATCTTCCAGCTATCAGGAAAACCAACAGCAAGAGCCAAGATTAGGGGTGCGCTGCACCAAAACAGAGTTTCCAATCTCCAGTCCATCGCCAAAGTGAGTCCGCTGCATGACCAAGCCATCAGGATGGTGACAAGACAGTATGTGATGCTGACCAGGACAAGCACTTGATTGCCTTGATCTTTGGGAATCCGCTCTTGTATGTAGATGCACTGAAGAGCTGTGATGTTCATCAAAAGACCATAGATAAACCTGCGCCAAGGGCCAGGATTTCCCTGCGTTTCGCAATGCTTCATTCATGTGCGTTCCTTTCAGTTGGGTCAGGCATCTTTTCCTTTCTTTGATCAGGAGATTCTGGACAAGGATGGAAACTGGAATCTGAGTGGGCTCAATGCTACAAAGATTTGGAGGTTTCCCAAAATGGGGGGTACCCCAAGTCACCATGGGTTTAAATACTAGACCTGAGAAGGGGGGAAACGAAAGCCAGCATCCCACCTACCCCTTATTTTCCCCAAAAGATTTTTCACCCACAGACTTTTCACCCAGATACTTTTCACCCACAGACTTTTCACCCGAAGTCTTTCACCCATACTTCTCACCCATATACTTTTCACCCACAGACGGCTCAACCATACACTTCTCGCCCACAGACTTTTCCCCCATATACTTTTCACCCACAGGTTTTTCACCCACATACTTTTCAGAGATTCTTCCTGCACAGACTTTTCACCCAGAGACTCTTCACCCACAGGCTTTTCACCCACAGACTTTTCACCCACAGACTTTTCACCCACAGGCTTTTCACCCATATACTTTTCACCCAAGACTGTTCAACCATATACTTTTCACCAAAAGGCTTTCACCCATACACTTTTCGCACACAGACTTTTCACCCACAGACTTTTCACCCACAGACTTTGCACCCTCAGACTTTCACATATATTTATAATATATATATATATATATATTTATTTATAATTTTACGATTTTTCGACCATGTAATTTTCACCCAGGGGTTTTCACCAATACATTTTTTGCCCACATTTTTTTCACCCGCGCTCTTTTCACCCACAGACTTCGCACCCTCAGACTTTTCACCCATACCCGTTTCACCTGTAAACTTTTGACCCACGGGTTTTTCACCCACACACTTTTTACCCACAGACTTTTCACCCAGCGACTTTTCACCCACGATTTTCACCCATATACTTTTCACCCACAGACTGTTCAACCATATACATTTCACCCCTAGATTTTCCACCCAGAGACTCTTCAACAATATATTTTTTACCCTCAGACTTTGCCTCCATATACTTTTCTTCGCCCATGTACTTTTTAATCCATACACTTTTCGCCCAGAAACTTGTCACCCACAGACTTTTCACCCATAGACATTTCACCCACAGACTTTTCACCCGCAGACTTTTCACCCGCAGACTTTCACCCATACACTTTTCGGCCACAGATTCTTCACCCGCAGACTTTGCACCCTCAGACTTTTCACCCATACCTGTTTCACCCATATACTTTTGACCCACGGACTTTTCACCCACAGACTGTTCACCTACGGACTGTTCACACCCACACTTTTCACCCGCAGACCTTTCACCCACAGACTTTTTAGCCACAGACTTTTCACTTAATTATATGTTTTTCACCGAGAGACTCTTCACCCAGCGAGTCTTTCTCCATAGGCTTTTCACCCACATACTTTTCACCCACAGACTTGTCACCCATACTTTTCACCCACAGACTTTTCACCCACCGTCTTTCACCCATATACTTCTCACCCATATACTTTTCACGCCCAAGGCTGTTCAACCATATACTTGTCACCCACAGACTTTCACCCATACACTTTTCGCACGAAGTCTTTTCACCCACAGACTTTTCACCCACAGACTTTGCACCCTCAGACTTTGCACCCATACCCGTTTCACCCATATACTTTTGACCGACGGACTTTTCACCCGCGCACTTTTCACCCACACACTTTTCGCCCAGAGACTTTTCACCCACAGACTTTTTCACGCACAGCGTTGTCACATTTTTCACCCACAGACTTTTCACCCATACACTTACACGTTGCACCCATATTTTTCACCCAGGGGCTCTTCATCCAGAGACTCTTCTTCCACAGACTTTTCACCCACAGACTTTTCACCCACAGACTTTTCACCCGCAAACTTTTCGCCCTCAGACTTTCAGGGATCCTTACGCTCATATTTTCATATTTTCATCACTCCTTTCCAAAGTTTCCTAATGTCACATCTTATACCGACAGAAGTTTCTTCTCCATAGCGACTGCGCCTCCATTCACGGACCCTTACCTCTGCCCTCCACCCCTTTCCAAAGCTTCCTAATTTCACCAAAAAAATGCAAAAAGCATTGACGGAGCCGACGCAGCAGTCGCATCTTCTGCATGTTAACACCCCTTTCCAAAGCTTGCTGATTTCACATCCCGTGCCGACAGAACCCAACAAATACAAGTCGGCCACTACAGTCTCGTCCACATCCTCCAGCGACAATTCCAAGCAATGCCTTTTCCCCTGACTCCCTTCTATTCCAGTCTTTCCCAAAGCATCGTATACTGACAGAAGTTGCTTCTAATCCTTACGACATCTTACGACCATGATGGTCCGAAATCGGAACCCCAGTCGACGAGTACATTCTCGTCCACATCCTATACTGACAGAGGTTCCTTTTAATCCTTGCGACCACAATCACATCGGAGCCCACCTATACTGACAGAAGTTCCTTCCAACCCTTACGACCATATAATGGTACCACATCGGAGCCAACCTATACTGACAGAAATTCCTTCTAACCCTTGCGACCATAATGGTCCTACATCGGAGCCCAAAAAATCAACGTAGATGGCTACATTCTCGTCGACATCCTATACCGACAGAAGTTCCTCAGAAGTTCCTCAAGCAATGCCTTTTCCTCTGGCTCCCTTCTATTCCACTCTCTCCCAAAGCATCCTATACTGACAGAAGTTCCTTCTGACCTTTGCGACCACAATGGTCCCACATCGGAGCTAAACAAATACAAGTCGACGAGAACAATCACATTCACATCCTCCGGCCACCTTCCAGTCTTTCCCATAGCACCTATTACTGACACAAGTTGCTTCAAATCCTTGCGACCACAATGATCCCACATCGGAGCCCAACTATACTGACAGAAATTCCTTCTAATCCTTGCGACCATAATGGTCACACATCGGAGCCCAATAAATACAAGTAGATGGCTACTGATGGCTACATTCTCATCGACATCCTATACTGACAGAAGTTCCTCAGAAGTTCCTCAAGCAATGCCTTTTCCTCTGACTCCCTTCTATCCAGTCTCTCCCAAAGCATCCTATACTGACAGAAGTTCCTTCTGATCTTTGCGACCGTAGGGGTCCCACATTGGAGCCCAACAAATACAAGTCGACGAGAACAATCTCATCCACATCCTTCCGCAACCTTTCCAAGCAATGCCTTTCCCTCTGACTCCCTTCTATTCCAGTCTTTCCCAAAGCATCGTAACTGACAGAAATTGCTTCTAATCTTTGCGACCATAATCGTCCCACATCGGAGCCCAACTACTGGCAGAAGTTGCTTCTAATCCTTGTGACCATCAAGCAATGCGTTTTCCTCTGGCCCCCTTCGATTCCACCTATCGCCTCCCCAAATGCACCTCCGAGGACGGACCATCAAGCAATGCCTTTTCCTCATAATGGTCCCACATCGGGGCCCAATAAATATAAGTAGAGGGCTACAGTGTCGTCAACATCCTATACTGACAGAAGTTCCTCAGAAGTTCCTCAAGCAATGCCTTTTCGTCTCACTCCCTTCTATTCAGTCTCTCCCAAAGCATCCTATACTGACAGAAGTTCCTTCTGATCTTTGCGACCGTAATGGTCCCACATTGGAGCCCAACAAATACAAGTCGACGAGAACAATCTCATCCACATCCTTCCGCAACCTTTCCAAGCAATGCCTTTCCCTCTGACTCCCTTCTATTCCAGTCTTTCCCAAAGCATCGTAACTGACAGAAATTGCTTCTAATTTGTGACCATCATGGTCCCACATCGGAGCCCAACTACTGGCAGAAGTTGCTTCTAATCCTTGTGACCATCAAGCAATGCCTTTTCCTCTGACTCCCTTCGATTCCATCGATCGCCTCCCCAAATGCACCTCCGAGGACGGACCATCAAGCAATGCCTTTTCCTCGTAATTGTCCCACATCAGAGCCCAACAAACACAAGTCGACAAGAACAAGCCCAACTACTGACAGAATCTGCTGAGGCACTCCCTTCGATTCCAGTGTTCTAACGCCTCCCCAAATGCACCTCCGACGGCAAACCATTTTCCGCGATTTTCCCAACGTTTCACTCCATTTTTCCATGGTTTTCTAGATTTTTTCATGGTTTTACTCGATTCTTCCATGGTTTTATTCAATTTTTCCGCGGTGCTGATCGATTTTTCCATGGTTTTGCTCAATTTTGCTAGGGTTTTGCTCGATTTTACCCTTATGTTACCTCAGTGTGTCTAACGTTTACCCAAATGCACCTCCCACAATCCCTACCGTTGCACCGTATAAACGGTTTTGCTCGTTTCTTCCATGGTTTTATTTCCGTGCTTCTACTCCATAGTGGTCACACATCGAAACCGCAATTCTTCCATTGCTTTTCCATTGTTTCACGCGTGCTTTACGCGATAATGGTCCCACAACCGAGCCTCAATTTTTCCATGGTGTTTGCATCCCATCAATTTCCGTCATTTTACTCTTATTTTACTTGGCATCATTTTGGTCCCACATCAGAGCCGCAATTTTTCCATTGTTTTTCCATTGTTTTACTCCACTTCTTCATCATAGTCCCTCGATTTTTCCATTGCTTTTCCATCGCTAATCGTCTCACATCGAAGCCACATTTTTTCCATTGCTTTTCCATAATTTTACTCGACATCATTTTCCCCTCCATTCCGGTCTCCCCAGTGTTTTTTTCACAGTTTTTCCTCCAGTTTTACTCAATCGTCCCATAGTTTACGCTATCAATTTATCCTTCCATTTCATCAATTTGTCCAGTGTTTTGCCATGATGTTACTCGATTTCTCCATCATTACCCTTATGTTACCTCAGTGTGTCTAACGTTTACCCAAATGCACCTATAAACGGTTTTGCTCGTTTCTTCCATGGTTTTATTTCCGTGCTTCTACTCCATAGTGGTCACACATCGAAACCGCAATTCTTCCATTGCTTTTCCATTGTTTCACGCGTGCTTTACGCGATAATGGTCCCATATCGGAGCCTCAATTTTACTTGGCATCATTTTACCCTCTCCCCATTGTTTCCACCGTTTTTCCTCGCGTTTTAATCAAATTTCCAAGCGTTCTACTCAAATTTTCCATTGTTTTCCCATTGTTTTACGTAATATTCCCTCATTTTTTCCATTGTTTTTCTCATCCTTTTCCCCTCCATCGCAATCTCCCCAAGTCCAGATCGGAGGACGGACCAGGGGGGAATCGATACCCCACCGTCACCCAATTGCCACCTGGTACATGACCCTAAAAAGGTTCACCTGCGTCCGCCTTTTTTACCACCTAATTTCGTGATTTAGTGGCCGTTAGGAACGTTCTGCCCCCAAACCCCCTAAACTCACTTTGTTCGCAAAAAAAACTTCGCCTAGCCTAGCGGCTGGCTTTCGTGATAATACTAAGTCATGGTCATCCAAGACTTCGATGACTTGGGGTACCTATGACTTAGGAAACCTTCACTGATTCTAATGATCACAGCCGCCATTCAAACCCTCACCTGATAGCCGTGAAGACAATCAGATTCCCCGCCGTCAAATACGGTAGAGTCACAGTTGCCAGGACAACCACCAAGAGACCAATGACGTGCAGCACAAGGAGCTGCTTCTGGTCAAACACTTCCTCGGAGGTGAGCAACATACATTCGGATTCACCTGCCATTAATCTCCCATTATGTGGCGGATGATGAAGCCGCAAAATTCACAAGAGTTAGTTCCCGGGATACTGCAACACATCCAGGACTGAAGCCTCCGAAATCATCGAACCAGGATGATTTTAAACACAAAAATCATTGCAACGCGTCACGCAGCCTGAGAGAATACAACGTGGTCACAACATACACGAGCATGAAATCACCTTCCAACGATGGGACACCGTATCATCCTTCTGCAACTTCACAGCATGTTCCCAACACAACGCCACCATGGCCATGTCAATATGCCGCTGTGGACCCCACGTCGGTCCCGCATCTGTCACAGTATCTGCAAGGCTGCTGCGTCATGCAGCACTTGACAGGGCTGGAACATCACTTGCCATACGCAGGGATTCATCATGACAAGGCACAGTCAGAACATACTTCTCCAGCAAGCGTTGCAATAAAAAAAATCAAAGGACCGGATAACCCCACGTGTCAATTTCTTCCAATAAGTCACCAAAAAGAGATGAAGACGGAATGGGAAAGGCAGGAAAGAGATATGAAATGGTGAAAGATATATATGAAAGACTTGCGTGTGACAGAGTTGTTTGTGTCTCTGTATGTGTCTGTGTGTGTGTGTATGTATGACTGTGTGTATGTGTGTATGTGCGCTTTATGTAGCCACACAGAAAACATCCCCCACGCCATGATCTGCACAAGTTGGCCAAAATGACCGGCAGAGGAAGCAACAGGCAACACCCCAGTAAGCCGGTCATAGACTTTTTCCGCAAATCACGACACAGCGTAACTTTCTGAATCTGGCAGAAACGTACCTAGCAATCAAAACGTGTATTGACAAGCAAGAGTCTAAGGCGAGAAATTCTGCTCAACAGGCGTGACTGCATGCAATTGAAACGACGAGAAGAACCTGTCGTTTTTGAGCGTGTGTGGGCATCTGTCCACGTACTTTGATTTACCAGAGGCAGCCCAGTGCCATAAGTGCCACGCCTGCCACGCAAAGTGAACGCCCATGCCTGCCACACAAAGTGAAGCCCGATGTCGCCAAGTGCCACGCTTGCCACGCCAATGGCCGCGGCGACAACGCCGTCAACTGGGAACCAAGCGTGCCACCAGAGGCAGCCCAGTGCCATAAGTGTCACACCTGCCACGCAAAGTGAGAGCGTCCATGTCTCGAAGTGCTACGCCTGCAACGCAAAAGTGAAGGCACCAAGCGCGCCACCAGAGGCAGCCCAGTGCCATAAGTGCCACCCCTGCCACGCAAAGTGAACAGCCGCCGCGTCAACTGGGAACCAAGCGCGCCACCAGAGGCAGCCCAGTGCCATAAGTGCCATGCCTGCCACGCAAAGTGAAGGTCCATGTCTCGAAGTGCTACGCCTGCCACGCAAAGTGAAGGCCGATGTCGCCAAGTGCCACGCCTGCCACGCCAACAGCCGCGGCGACAACGTGCCACGCCTGCCAGGCAAACTGAAGATCCATGTCTTGAAATGCCACGCCTGCCACGCAAAGTGAAAGTCGATGTCGTGAATTGTGAACAAGTCGTGTGTGTGAGTAAGTTGTGTGTGGACAAGTTGTGTGTGAACAAGCTGTGTGTGAGTAAGCTGCGTGTGAGTAAGCTGTGTGTGAACACGCTGAGCTGTGTGTGGACATGTTGTGGGTGAACAAGCTGTGTGTGAGTAAGTTGTGTGTGGGCAATTTGTGTGTGTGTGTGAGTAAGTTGTGTGTGAGTACGTTGTGCGTGAACAAGCTGTGTGTGTGTGAGTAAGATGAGTGTGAACAAGCTGTGTGTGAACAATTGTGTGTGTGTGAGTAAGTTGTGCGTGAACAAGCTGTGTGTGTGTGTGAGTAAGATGAGTGTGAACAAGCTGTGTGTGAGTACAGTAAGTTGTGTGTGAGTAAGTTGTGTGTGAACAAGCTGTGTGTGAGTAAGCTGTGTGTGGACAAGTTGTGTGTGAGTAAGTGAGGGAGCCGGCGGGAGGAGGCAAGCGGGAGTGCACAACCAAAAACAAGAACCCCACACAAAGATGTGGGCAACAAGACGGCAAGATCGAAGGCATCATGACCCAAACCGTCCTCGTCAACAGGACCCGGACGCATGGCGTTCTTCACACCATGACACCTCGAAAAACTTCCTCGCAAGCCACAAAACCTGTATCATGGGCATGGCAGACACTGCGCAGCTCCACACTGCAGTTGCTGTGATGTTGGGACAGCATCACAACGACCAACCAGGGCCGACACCGTGCCATCAGCAGTGCCACCTCCATCACAACACAACCTGATCGCTCACAATCATAAACACCAGCATCCTCTGAACAAAGCCATGACAACGGAGCTTAAACCGAACATGGATGCAGCCGCGGCATCCCTTAGCTGCAATATCTACTGCGCCCCAAACCCACAAGAACGTGATTCGAGCAACACAGCCCCGGCCCTGGAACGCACATACACAAGCATGTGAGTGCGCAACCCCAAGCTATCATAAGCTATCACTGAGGAAAACAAAGGGCGCACAGCTATTCTACTAAGCCTCTAGGAATAATCCTCATTCAAGCCTAATAAGTCCATATAAGTCCTAATACTGCAGTCTCACCTCTTTTTGCATTGTGGCAGCACACGGGTACATCGCAAGACCCCGTGAACTGAGCAGCCCCAGGTCCGAACACACTGGCAGCATTATCGTCGAACATAACCTATCTATGTAAGTTTGCCTGCATGCATGCATACACATATGTATATATGTGTGTCAAGGGGACACAAAACATCTGAGAAATAGTAACCTTATGTAACCCTCAGAACAGGGTGGGGACAAGGGACACCACACGAAGATGCCACATGACCACATTGGGACACAGGCTGGTGGCGCCTTATCTCCTATGTGTCTTGGAGCACAATTCTACGCTTCGAAAATGTACTTGACTGGGAGGATCAAGATTGCTGGTACGAGTACTAAGTACACTTGGCCGACCAGGTATCTTAGCAGTCTTAGCAACCTTGGCAACCTTGGCAACCTTAGCAACCAACAACCACTTAAAACGAAAGCCTGTGGATGCATCATGCATCCAAGCTTCAAGCGCTTTGTCTAAGATCGTGGCACTTGCCAGCCAGCCCACAAAGATGGCCTCAGAGACCCATCTGTGCAGTGATCAGAAAATGACAATGCAAAATGACAAAAAGTATACACAAACAAAGTCAGCTAGAGAATCCACGCGGATCCAAATCAGTCAAGTCACCGTTGTTGCGATTGGAAGAGTGTCTTGGGTTAATCCAGGCAACGCGGGGTCTGCTGCAATCTTGAGGTCGAGGAAGACTGGCAAAACATGCCAAGCGGGTAACGCGATGGGGCCAAGGAGAAAAGCACCGATCACATCCCGTTGCACCTGTGGCAGCAACACCACAAACAAAAGGCAGTGTCGCCAATCTGACTTTTAAAAAGATATAGTTCCCTCCATCAAGCTAAAAAAACATTAGGCGGGCAGGCAACTAATAGAATATAGATCCTGCGGCCCGCAAGCGGTCTGAAACAAAAAGGATCAAAAAGTTGTTGAGAAAAAACACATGCACTTGGAATAAAGTCCCTTTCAAACCAGAATCAAAGAACAACCATCCTGACCTTCGACTCATTGACTGTTGGATTTGGCAACACTGCGACGCCGGTGCTGCCACTGTCGTTCTCGAAGACGTTCAGCGGACTGTTGCCGATGACATCCTGAGCCATTTGGGTTAACTTCAGGCTTCCATCATTGTGAGTTCGCGCGATCGTCCTCAAGCTGCTGCCAGAATCAAGATCTAAGAGGGTTTGGGAATGACTATTGATATCCGCCCTCATCACAGAAAGTAGCAGAATGAGTGCGGCCCCTCACTAGTGACAGTCACCGTCGCCCCGGCCAAACTAAAAGTTTCCCAACTCGGCAAGTTGCTTAGGCAAACCCGTCTGTCTCTTCCTTCGCCTGCGCTTCTCCAAACCGGCGGCGAAAAAGAACATGCAAAGCACAGCGGAGGTTGCCTCTGTATGCCCATGGTGAATAGGTGTAGGCATATGAGGAGTGAATTTGGCCAAAGGGCGCAAAGGCTCCAACACTCTTGTCTTAGGCCCTGGTGCCTTCACAATAGCCAAACCCATGACACTGGGGCGCGGCAACTAGCAATGAAACTGCAAAGAATCTCGATTGTTGTCTGGAAAGCAAATCATGGTGAATGTCTGCAAATGAATTTCAAATGTTGCAAACTTGATGTTGCACATGTTTTCTGTTTCAGCTCAAACCTGGCAAAGTTCAAACAAACAACGAAAATTGCGGCATGTCGGTACGGTGCACAATGTTGTGATGGATGCCAAAAATCAACAACTGGCTACATGGCTACACTCAACCCCTTCGAAACAACAGCTGCTGGGGGAATGGTTGGGATCTGCTGCGATTTGACCCTGTTTTCTGCTTGACCTTTCAAGGGACAAACACCCAAACTGCAGCCACACACCAACAGCCATGCAGCTACCCTGCCCAACTTGAATGCATCTCTGTCTTTCAAAAATCAATTTGGCCTGTGGTTCCACCGTAGAACCGCTGAAAAATAAACCATGTTGGTGAATTTGTTGACATTAATTTGGGTTGTGTGGAAATAACATACCATTTTTCCCATCACATTTTTCATACGAAAGGTGCCATAAATTTGGATTCAAACTTACCATGTTCGGTTTGTGGCACCTCGGCGCCGGCTGCACCTGATCGGACCATGACTCTGTATGTGTGTATATATATACACATACATATAATATAAATATATGTATGTATGTATGTATGTATGTATGTGTGTCAATCCAACTAAATTTGTTGACGTCTGGAACTCTTGCTTGAGACGCAGCTGAAGCAGCTTCTTTTCTCCATATAGCCTTGCAAGTACGCGGCAGCAGAGGTGCACAGCCACCAACGTAGAGCATGAGCACCACCTGGTCGTAGGGCTCTTCAAAGAAAAAGAGGAAGAGCTGCAAATGGTGCCATGCCAACCTTCGATGTAGCGCAGCGCACACTGCTGGAAGTCATAGTGCTTCGCCACCACCGCATTCAACAAGGCCAGCCGAGCAAACAGCCACAAACTTTGAGACCTTGCCACTTCCTCCACAAATCTCAATGAAATGATAGCGCAGGGCAAGGGGTCGACTGACGTGACCAGAAGGGCTTGGTATTGCTTCCTCCTCCACAGGCTCATCCATGAAGCCTCCTCCCTGGTCTGCATCCTGACATAGCCTCCACGCTTCCGCCCAGTCCTCCACAAAGCACGCGCAACATCTTGTCGAACATGAGCGCACACAAAGGCCCCTTTGGAGTCAGAGGCATCTGTGGCATACACTGTTGATGACAACTCAGCTGAGAGGTCGGAGACCATCAAAGGAGAAAGAATGGCCAGGAGGACCAGCTCCTGGGCAACTTTCCGTGGCAGCTTTGTGACCTTTGGTTCATCGATCTTGATTCACCTCAGACGAAACAACCAAGTGAAAACTCTCTGACAAAATGCTCATCATAGGGCGACGATAAAGCAAGCTATGAGCCCACCAAGAAGACAAAGATGAAGGCTGTCTGTGGTCCATCCCAATTGAGCAAGCTTGAGAGACAAAAAGGACAGAGACAACCTCTTCTTCCGGGGAGATCCAAGCGTAGCAGGACCAAGCGCCCTTACGGCATCAGAGGAATCCAGCTCAGCCCCAGTCACCTTGGCAAAGGCAGCATCGTAGACATCCTTCTCCTCAGAGCCCAAGAGGCCTTCGGCCGCCCTTGTAAACCTGGATTTCTCCAAGCACATAGTGTCCTCTGCTGAAACAATAGAGACTGCATAAATATCATCGATCACTAGACCCGCAACCCACGGAAAACTCTGTCAGCAGGCAGTTCTGTATGGTCATTGATGATGTCATGGGAACGCATGAGCGCTCGGTGGCTGTCGACTGCAAACTCAACCCCAAGAGCATCTCCTTGAGGAACGCTGGGAAAACAGGCGCGCAGGAAAAGATCTTGTGAGGGCTCTTCCATGCCACAGAGAAGACCAAGCCTATCCCAAAAATCGCCATGCTTCAGCCTATCACATTTCTGTCTACCCATCTTGCTCCTCAAAAAAGTCCAAGAGGCAAAGGCTGAAGTGCCCACCAAGTCTGACGCCAGCAAAGGAGGGAAGCACATGTTGGTCTTGGTTCTTTGAGGAGTGGTCTTGAATTGGTGATAGAAATCTTTCCTGTCTGAGATGCACACTGAAAAACGCTCACATGAAAGCTTGATCTCCAAGGCTCCCAAAAGCAAGGCCGTAGGAAGAGCGCGGGAGGCTCCAGGAATGATGCCCTCAACTGCATTTCGTGCTCTACGATCTCCAATCATGCGGTCTATGCTTTCTGACTTGTAACAGTTGAAAAACCGCATGCTGGTAGCATCTTGGCTTCTCTCACTGCTGAATATGATTCTTTGCTCAAATCTGGCACCCCTTCGCCTCCAGGGCCCGCACGAAAGACAAGGGAGGCTGGTTCTCGAAAGGCCATCCAAAGAGAACCATTCAAAAAGGGAGAGGGATCCCACTGGCCAGAGCCTGATACACTGGAACGTGAAAGTCAGTGCATATGTGGAACCAAGGTAAAAACTGCATGGGACGCCGCGCATTCAGGAAGTCAAACAAGTCAACGCAACTAGGTCTAAAACACCATGGGACGCACTATGTAGAAGTGTTATTTTTAGATCCCTGGCAGTGCACTTTTCGATTGCCAAATTTTCCAAATCCCCATCAGGACGCGTGTGCACAGTTATGTCCCATAATCTTAAAAATATATGCCAAATTTTCCAAATCCCCATCAGGACGCGTCTCCAAACATGAATCTCAAATATGTCTGAATAATAATCTGAAGGAATGTTTCTGGTGGCTTTCCTGAAGGAATTTGATAAGGAATGGAAGACTTCGGGATTTGAATGTTGCTAAGTGAATGTACAGTTGCAAATCTCATCCACGTTCTCTGCCCTGTGGTACGGCCATCTTTTTTCCGCTCATTTGCTCTTGGGAACAAACTGCAACGACCTCATCTTGCCATAGGCCTGCAGGAAATCAATCCTCTGCTTCTTGGTTTTACTAGAACTTGTGCCAGCCGCATGGCACACCGCTTACGCCAGACAAAATCTCTTGCTTCTCTGCCCAAAAACCGCACCTTGCCCAGAAGCAGCAACACAAGCAGCAACAACAACAGCAGCAGCAGCAGACCAAGCAGCAGACCATTGCAAAGCCTTTCCAAAACCTCTCCGGGCTGGGCCTTGACTGGCTGCAATTTTAACGAGGTCCGAACGAGGTGCAAACGAGGTCCAAACGAGGTCCATGCGAGTAAGGGAGACAGAGGGGAGACATGGGGAGACAGAGGGGAGACAAAGGGACGCAAGCTTGGCAAACAAGTATACAATTGCCACGACTTTCATCTTTGGGAGTATAGTGGGTAAACCCAAAAAGATATGACAGGTAAGCGTCGTGTGCCTATGCGAAGTGCTAAAAAATACATCAGTAAGTTAAAGTGATAGGCGCTGCCCATGCGGGCCTTTCCCCATAGGCACTTGTTATAACATCGACCCAGTATTCGTCGGTGTTTGTATGAATCTTGCACAACAGAGCGAGCCACAAGTGATGTACAAAACTCCCAAAACACAAGGGAATAGCTACAACCATCTGCATGGTATCCATGAAAAACTCACGATAAACCATCAATTGGAGAAAACACAAACATGCTAAACACCAACTGGACGCAACATCGCACCGACTTCCAGAAATTTCTCCCCCACCTAGGACGCACATTTCATTGAAACGCTTTGACTTCCACAACTAGGAGTAGCTTGAGACGCTCTGGATCCAAACTTCGGTAAGGGCACAGAGAGGCATCCCTGGACCTATCCGGTTCGAGAACCACATCTTCACAACCACCTGAAAGCCACATTTGTAGGAATCACCTGAAGCACCTTGCCATGTCCAAAACTCGAAAAGGTCAGCAAGTTGGGAAGTCAGGGTTGTGGATCTCCGGCAGCTACTGGGGACAGAAACTTCGTCCTCACAGCTAGCAGCTACCGTAGGCCTTCAGCAACTTCCTCATGTTGACCAAACATCTAGTCTGCGCTGGAGATGACCACGTGAAAACCACGATCAAACGCAATCCTTCGACGTTGCCTAGAACTGACCCTTCTTGTGGAAGAAGAAGATTCCATCTCGCGGCACAGGAAGAGGAAACAAGGCCTTCTCAGATCCTTGAACTTGGGATCTGCGGGCAGACATGGTGGACCTCAAAAATGCAGCAAATGGGGCGCGTGTCCTCAAAACTTCCCTGCAAAGCGTGGAGACCCATTAAGAAAATGAAACTTTCTGAAGCGAAGGCCACAAGGGGAGAGCTTCAATCTCATGCGCATCACTGAGCTTGCCATCATCGTGCAAGGCTTGTGATTCACAAATTCCATAGGCATCCTGGCAGAGGGCTCGTTGTCCTTCTTCGGCACATAGCATGCCAGCTGTGCGCTCACTGGTTTTAGGGCTGTGAGTAGAGGCCCTCATTTCTTTTCCAACTCCATGGATCATTTTTTGTTCTCCTCCTTTGGCTTTTTGGGATATCTCTGGTTCCTCCTCTTTGGGGCAGCCTCTGCTTTCTCGGAAGGGTTTCCAGCTGGCTTCCGATTCGGGATGGCTTCTTGGCGGTGAGACTGAATCACATCTGCCTCTTTCAGATAGGCTAAGGCCGTCGTTGCCCACGGCGGGTCCTCCTGTAGAGCAAGCAACCATCCCACCTCCCATTTGCCTCCATCTTGGGCCGTTTGTTCCAAGCCCACAAGTGTCATAGAAGCTCTTGGGCACCTATCTCATCTCCCGCAAAGCCACATGACCAAGCCCAAATCGCGCTGGCCGGCGCTCCAGGTACTTGGTGAACACTGTCTTGCCCTGGAAGGATGGGGAAGCGCTTCGGTCGGCTTCAAACGCTTGAAGGCATTTTGGATTACCTTCAGGAGAAATCCCCCTTTCTGCTTGCAAAGTCGGCCATCAGCTTCTCTCTTTTCTGAGACCCTTTGAAGGACAGGCCAGTTGAAGAAGAGCTGCTTGCCCCAAGATCGTGAAGTCCATCCTGGGCTATATGAGCCACCAGTGACGTCAGAGCCTTTTGTTGC